CCAATTTTTGCGCAAAAGCTTCCGCGGCTTCCTCCTCCTTGGCGTACACGTTCACGACGCTTCCCCCCGCCCCCCGTTCCGCGTGGTAGTCCAACATGGCAGTCAATTCATCCATTGCCGCTGCCTCCCGCCCCTCCCCCCGTGGTCTTTCTCCCTCCGCCGCATACCGCCAGTCCGGATTGGGCTTTGTCGGACAGTACCACTCCGTAGCCATCACGTCTTCCCGGCGGGAGGCTCGGAGACGGCGTATGTGCTGGATGCGTTGAGAGAGGAGGACCTGACTGTGCTTCTCCCGCAAGTCCTTCTCTGCCAAGCCACGTTCCCGCTCCTCGCCCGACGGCTTCATGCGCATTTGAAGAGCGGCGGGATGCCGACGCTTAATTCGAGGGGAGGAAGAAAAGGAGGCAACAAGGGAGGAGGAGGAGGAGGAGAAGAAAAACGAGTGGGACGGGAGGTAGGCATAAGCAGCTCGCGAAGCGGCCAACGCCAGTACACCCACACAGGAAGCAAGGAGCGGAAGACGGACGCGGCTATTCCTGATGCGACTTGCTGGCCATGTCGATGGCATCGCTGTGGGGTTCGGGGGGACAATGGTTGATGTGCATACCATGACTTTTGTCGGAGGGAGGGAGGTTTTTCAGAAAGGGAAAGGGTGAAGACGTGTGTGCGCATCGAGCCACGAAACATTCAATGTACTGTGGGTCCATCAAGCGAGTTTCTGCGACTCTTTCGGACCTTAAAAACAGCTCGGTTTGCCCACACATTCACAAGTCTCTCGATAGCACTTGGGACATCGAAATTGAAAGCGTGCACACAATCAACCTTCTTGAGCCCGGTGCTCCCGCATTTCAAATTGCCTTGAAACGCACAATTCATGCCGTCATTTCCCACTCATCTCAACCAGGCTGCGTCTCAATGGCACCGCGGCTACGGCATACGCGGGGGGCAGCGCCCGCATGCCTCCTCGTCTCCATGGTGCTGTTGCTTTTCTGCCTGCACTTTACAAACAGAGTGCACGGAGCTTTTAGCGAGTTGCGTTCATCTGCCGGCCGCGGCGCAGAAAAAAAGCCAAAATCTTCACCACGAAGGTCACCCACGCCTCAAGGAAAGGAAAAAGAAGCAGCAGCACCCTCCGCCCCGGAGGAAGCCACCAAATTTAAGCTTTCAGAGCTGTTGAACCCATTAGGAACGGTGGACAGGGAGGGAGAAGGAGACAGGAAATCGTCCTCCTATGAGGCGGAGCCGGGCTCCACCTTTGTCATGATGGAGGATGGGCAAATGATGGCGGATTGGGAGGAACTGATGCTGTTGGAGGGTGCCAAACCTTTGAGGGACTACATGGATTGTCTTTCCTTGTCGCAGCCGGCGCCCAGGGCGTCGACTCTGGCGGGAGGGAGGGCAGGCGCCGAAGAAACCTCTCTGAAGTACGGACCGATGTCGGGGCCCGCCTACATAATCACAGACGATGCCCCCGCGGGCCGCGTCACCCTGGACGTAAGCTGTCTCTTGCATGCAGTGCCAGAGCAGCCCCCGTCCTCCCCCTCCTCCTCCCCTTTCCCTCGATCCGCCCCCCGCCGGCTCCCCGCCTTGAAGGACCCGAGGCACTACGCCTGCCACCCACCGACCTCCCCTCCCTCCGCCATTGCCTGCTTCGGTCGCATCGCCCCCCTTCTCCTGGACGCTGCTTTCTCCCTCCCGGACCTCCTTCCTCCTTCCTCCTCTCTCCCGAGGGGGGAGGAGCACGACTTTTCCCTCTACTCGACCGCGCAGTTGGAGATGCAAGAAGATTTTGCAGATCTATGCGCCTTTCACCCGACGGTACACGATGGCGACACTTGCCTCGCGCTCCTGAGGGAGTACCGAGAATTTTCCCGGGAAATTTCTCGGGGCGGGGACGGCCACCCGAAGAAACGGCTGGGAGGAAAGGCCCGGGCGGGGGCGGAGGCAAGGGGAGAGATGAGGGAGGAAGTTTTGTATTGGCTGTACATGGAGGAGATGGACTTTTTTTCTGGTGGGTGCCGGGGAAGGAGTGAGGGAGTGAGGGAGGGAGGGACAGAGGCCCGTCCGTGGGACGTCTTTCGTCGCTCACTGTTCCTCCTTCTCTCCCTCCCTTCCCTCCCTCCCCTCCCTCCTTCCCTTCCTCCAGGCAAGCTTTACCGAGAAATCGACGCGGCCCGGGAGGACGACATTCGGCGAGCGGCCCATGGAGAGCCCTCCTACTACGAGGAAGGCTATGGCGCGAAAGACGAGGAGTGGGAGGGA